AAATACAAATGTGAATATCATATGTAAAAAAATTTGAATAGTATGCTAATGGTCTCTGTAGCTAGCTAGCTATTTCCTGTTCCACCTTAAATAGTCAGCAGTACTGATGCTTGAAACACCAGAATGTAACTGCTGCTCCATTTAAGGCGGAATGGGAAGATTCAAATGAGAAGCTAACGAATGGCTGACTTCAGCTTCATATCACAAAATAATTAGGGGTGGGTGATAATACATAATAGCCCCATCCCTTTGAAAGCATATGATGCCCTGAATTTAACTAAAGGCCAGCAGCAAGACTGCTGAACTTTACCCTCCTCTGCTATCACTGCATTGGCAGGGTTGCCTACAGAGCACCACTATTAGCCTGTTAATGAAGTAATGTTCTTTTTATTTAAGGGTTGTCCTATTTTGCACAGAAAAATTTCTACCACTTCTCCTTAACTACCCCGTAACTCAGTTCCAAGGGGTAAGGTGACACTCAAAAACAAGGGGTAGGGGTAAAAATAAGAAATGGAATTGGGCCATAATCTGTCCAGTCACAGAACAGGCTACTCTTCCACTATTCTTTCATGTTTAAGCATAGCACTGAGGTTTTGTCGGACTGCTAAAACTGTTACGACTGGGTATCTGATCCTCAAGAATCTGTCTATTTATACCCACCACTCAACTAAAAAACTAATGCAGGAAGCTCAGTTTGCATTAACAAATTACATGTTGATAATTACTTGCAATTTAGCACAACTCTTCTCGTGTGAGCAATATTTACTATCCTTATTTTCTATTCTTATTTAAGTTATGGATGATATTAATAATGACTGACAATTTTACTGCAAATAAAGCTTTTCCCAGGTTGTTAAATTGTGCTCAAATTCACAAGCACCTCTACCAGACATGTTAGATTGTACATTTATGCCAAAGATAAAACTGACGAATAACAAAACTATGTAACATTTGTGTAGGCTCTATGTACAAAAAGATCTGACTACACAACTTGGTGCCATTGTAGACTTTGAACAGGGCCCAATAGAGTAAATGATTATGAATGATGGTGTGGTGGTATAGGGTAGGAGTAGTGGGAACAGTGTATGGGAGTGGAAGGTGAGGTGTGCCCTTTTTTTTTTTTTTACCATAAGCCCCTGCCCCACATAATATCTTTGCATGGCCCCTCATTATTTAACATTACTGTGACGTAGGTTAAATGTAAAGACAATCAGCATGAGAATTACAGTTGTAGTAATACATTTTCTCCCCCCAAAAAAATGTTTGACTGAGTATGTTTATTTGTTTCATATTCTTTGTTAAATGATGCATGTACTGGTCAGTTATTGTACTTTTCCTGTCATCTTTAATATATGGGTTTGACTTATTAGAGTACAGTTTCTAATGCAAGAACTTAAGTTCTGTTTTTTAAGTTCTGAAATTGATATTTTCACATTTAACGTGTATAACAGAACAAAAGAACCCACCTTAACATTTTTAATGAATGGATAACAATTTATACAGTACATCATTTACTTATGAAAATATTACTGGGATTTGATTTTGTAGATTTATATTCATTTTTGCTTCCTGAAAAATTGAGAAAACTTCAAAAAGCCTAGTTCAGTATTTTTTTTCCCCAACTCTTCTTGTCCAGTATGCCATATAGTGTAGTTACACTGACTGACCTAAATACAATCTGAAAATTATGAATAATGTATTTACAATAAGATCTTTCACTATTATTAATTTCACCTAAATTTTGCATCAGGATTCACCACTAAAAATAGAAATGTGATCGTTGTTTTGAGGAAACCTATTGATTTTAAACTGGTGTCAACCATGTGGCTTTTTAATTCTATACTGTGACTCAGTATACACTGATGCATTATTTTGGAAATTATTCAGGAATTTTTTAGGAATTTCAGAAACTGTTCCCTTATTTCTTTTGTTCTTACCCCATAAATAATAGGATTGAAACAGCTTGGGAAAAGCAAGTACATTGTACTCAGAAAGACACGGCTGTTCGGAGAGAAATTGTTTCTTACTCTGTAGGACATAAAAGCAATTAAGGCAAAAGTGATAGTAACTGTCATGACAATTATGTGTGTAACACAAGTATTAATAGCCTTTAAATGGGACTTCCCTGATTTCAGGACAGAAGCAAGTATTATTAAATATGATACTGTGATGAAAAGAAAATCTGCAGTTATTATAAGAAAAGCAGCCAAAAGTCCCAACATGTTGTTAATAGAAATATCTCCACATGCCAGCTGAACCAATGCCATATGCTCACAAAAACAGTGATCTATCTCATTAGTCTCACAAAAGGATAATTTCCCAGCCCTAGAGATCATTGCAATAATTAATACCCCATTTCTGACAACTGGAAAAATAATGAACTTCAGAAAACTGTGGATTTCCATATATTTGTGATAGTAAAGAGGTCTGCAAATAGCAAAGAATCGATCCAAAGCCATCCACACCAGTAAAGTAGACTGAAATGTACCAACACAATGAATGCAGAACATTTGTATTAAACATCCCACAAGTGAAATCCCGTTCCAGTTAAATAAAAAACTAAATAGCATATTTGGGACAAAAAATACTGGCAAGCACAGATCCACCACAGCCATCAGACCGATTAGTACAAACATAGGAGAGTGCAGAGCTCTCTGAGATATAATTAAATATATGAGAATGGAGTTTGAGGTGGTAGACAATAAAAACATAAGGAAATAGGGAATGAACAGAAAAGGCCTCCATTCTGCCAAATCATGGAAACCATTCAGATTGAAAGCTGTGAATGAAATATTTTGTGCAGGAACACTTTGCATGCTGATCAGTGTTTTTGTACAATCACCATTTTAGCAAAACTTTTTTTTCTCAAAGAAACGCTTACTTTGTACTAAATTTGAACAAGACTAGTAAAGAAAGAATTATTATTCTAATGGTAATCATATATAGACTTCAATATTGGATATGAATATATATCTTGTATTATTCACGTTATGTACATATGAATATTTTAGATAACAATACCTTAAAAGTTATTCTGTATAAATACTCTGCGCATAAACCTGTCTGAGGGGAAAACAACCAGCACTTTTACAACAATAACAATATTCAGATGTAAACATTCAAAGGCATAAACTATAAACTAAACTGTACAAAGGCAACACAAGAACATGGCAAATATTCCTCTTGAGTTCACTGATGAACAGAAAATGCACATGTTCTACAGTTGCTTACCATGGATCCTATTTTGCTGCCTGACACATCACAGAAGCGTGACGTGTCTCTGTCTCTATATACTCTCTGTTGTTCCTAAGAGATTATGCTCCATTTCTGCAAGCTTTTGAAGACATCCTAAGGCTGAATGAATGAGCTCCGTTTATCTCAACTCTATGTACCAGCATCACTGCATTTCTGATATAAATTAAAATAATATATAAATATAAATAATATATAAATAAAATAATATATAAATATAATGCCTATATATATATTTAAAAGATTGTTTTACATTGTTTTTATTTTAAGATGCAACTTCATACATGTGCTGAAGGCTTAAGACCCTTAAGTTGCTATTAGCACTCAAACTGCAGCTTTTGTGTGCATCACTGAAAAAAAAACACAGCAGAAGAATCTCACTAATGCTTGTGTTTGCAAGTAAAAACTGTATGTTAATGAAGCTTTTGTAGCCAGTTAGAAGTCTTTCTATTCAGGTTTTAGGAATTTTCACTCACAGATTCTTGCAGAATGTTTCTAGGTCTGCAAGATTCAGAAACAGTATGTTTAAGATCTACCCACAGATTTTCAACAGTGTTCAGTTCCAGAGACAGAGGTCCACGGTGATGCCTTTTGATGTTCTGGATTGTTAGCCTGTTTTACTAGCCAGCCTCTTTTCAGCCTCAGGTTTCTTGACTGACTGTGTCACATTTGCTTCCTGAATTTGCTGATATTTTCTAGAGTCCGTTCTTCCCTCTACCTGTGCAGTTTCTTGTGAAACGGACCGTCACATGACCCCAAAAGCATAATCCACCCCCAAGCTTAACAGTTGGCAAGGTGTTCTTTTAATCTCAACAATGCTGCTCCTTTTTTCTGGTAATTAAGTATTCTAGTTCGGAAGAGCCATGGTAGTTGAGTCTTAGTATAAGTTTGAAAAGTCATGGAATTGATTACGTTCTGGAACTGTCATCAGCTGACAACTCCTAATGACAATTCTTCACACGCCTAACCAGCCCTAACAAGCCAATTAACTAGTTTTTTTTATAACAATGAATTATAAAACTGGATGTTCAAGATATATAAAATATATGTTAAGAAGGAATAAGTAGTAGATGTAGGTCAGGAAATAAATAAATTTTCCTCTCTTGTTCAAGCAGTGAGCAGGAAACAGAAACCCTGGAGCAGAGTAAATCTGAATGCTTTGAGAGGGGAATGAAAATTGCTGCCTCTCCACTCACATACTCTGCAATAAACAAATGAAGTGTACACATGATGTAATTATCTGGTACAACAGGCCTTTGACATGCAGAATATCTTGAAGAGCAGTAATTTACAGACCAAATTTTTGCCTATAAAGTTAAGATAGATAGACTTTGGAAGTTTGGAAGGGTGGGATAAATGTCATAGCTGGCCACGTTAAGCCAATCAATAAGCGTAATATTAAAAATAAAAATAATATTGACATGCTCCAATCTCATGGATAAATATATACTAGAATTACTCATTGTACGGAATATGCTTTGATTTCAAATCATTCCCTATCAACAACATAACTCAGTGTGCAATTTACTTTTCTGTACAGAGCAAATCTGTTTTTTAATTCATACTTTCACTAACATGGCCTATAGTTTCATTTAATACATAGAATACCACAGAAGTTCAGTGAAGTCAGATACAGCCCAGCATTTATTACCTTATTGCTAAACAATGTCACATTACGTAGGGTTTATATAGCTATTGCTCAGCTAAATGTTCATTTTAGTAAACATAATGCTACAATTTATAACAGGTTACAAGGGTATGATCTTTATGCGTTTTATTAATTCTAGAAAATGGTGTCTTATTTCTTTTGTTCTCAGTCCATAAATGATTGGGTTGCAGCAGCTTGGGAAAAGTAAATACATTGTACTCAGAAAGACACGGCTGCTTGGAGAGAAATCATTTCTTATTCTGTAGGACAAAAACGCCATTAAGGCAAAAGTTAGAGTACATATCATCACAATTATATGAGTAACACAAGTTTTCATAGCCTTTAAATGAGTCTTGCCAGATTTCAGAACAGAGATGAATATTATTATATAAGAGATAGTAATGAAAACAAAATCTACAGTTGGTACTAGGAAAGCAGTCAAAAGTCCTACCAAGTTGTTAATAGAAATGTCTCCACATGCTAACTGAACCAATGCCATGTGCTCACAAAAACAATGATCCATCACATTTGTTGCACAGTAAGACAGTCTCCCAGCCAGAAAGACAAATGTGGTAATTAGGACTCCATTTCTGATTAATGGCACTATAATAAATTTTAGGAAGTTAGAGACTTCCATATGCTTGTGATAAAATAGTGGTCTGCATATAGCAAAGTAACGATCCAGTGCCATACACAACAATAATGTAGACTGACATGATTCATTATAATGAATGCAAAGCATTTGTATTAAACAACCCAGAAGAGAAATCCCATTCCAGCCAAATAAAAGGCTAAGCAACATGTGTGGTACAAAAAGCACTGGTCCACCCAAGTCCACAATGGTCATAAGACCAATCAGTATAAACATAGGAGAGTGCAGAGCCCTGTTAGATACTATTACATACAAAAGCATACAGTTGGCTACGACAGACAACAAGAACATCAAAAAATACGGAATGAATAGCAGAGGTCTCCATTCTCCCAAAGCATAAAAGCCATTCAGTTTAAACTCTGTAAAAGAAATGTTTTGTGCAAAAACACCCTGCATGTTTCTCAGCATCTCTGTGTAGACATTATTCTACTCAAATACACTTAAAATTGTACTTAGTTTATTTTGTTTGATTTTAGCATCAATTTAAAATATTAAAATGTATAATAGAAAGTCATGAATAACCCAGACCATTTCAGCTGTATGGCTGAAAGATGAATGAAACAGATAAAAATAAGAGTTCATCACATGCAATATAATTCTTAAGGTCTTCGATAAACAACAGCTGCTGATGGCAGTGGGACAGAGTGAAGCTTGTTCTTAAACTTCAAAGCCTAATGAAGGCTTATCAAGAGTCTTTGACTCTAAATATAACCTGTTGTGTTCCCACGAGGTGCTATTCCACAAACATTTACCATCCATCAAGGTCATTTCCTATGCAACAAAAAAGTAACTGTACAAAAAGAATTTGCTAACAGCACTTATAAATAGCAACTTAATCATAATCTAATAGTTTGGTAATAATTGTTAACAATTACATCATTATTAAATATACATATATACATTGACTTAGCGACATACTAATTAATTATGTTGATTTATAGAAACTTAATCATTAATTGTAGTTTGTTAATAATTATGTAGTTATTTGACATTAATAATTCACAGGTAACAAATTATACAACATACTACAGTAAGTGTTTACTTAATGCTTAGTTAATTTCAATTAACTAATCATTAAGTGATAGCACATTAATCATCATTAATTATGATCAATGGCTAATTAATGTATTTTTTTTTAACATTAATACTCACTAACTGGACCGCTACTATAAAGTGGAAACTGAACTTTGTGATTTATTTTTAAAGTATTATAATAAGTTTATAAATATAATTGCATTTATAAGTATTGTGGCGTTTGCCACAGGCCACGCTGCCATGGGGAGCTTAGGGGGTGTGGCCATGCAAAATGGCTCTCAGGATGCGCCACACTCCCAGTTAAAAAAGACACTCATTGTTGCTGTTGTTGTTGTGTTGGAGTAGTTGTACTTAATCGTTGCAACTGTGCCTGAGTAGGTTAGGCCAGGTTAGGTCGTGTAACTAGTGGTCAATGTCTACCCTTCTTATATATCCTGTGTCCTCCTGCATTACCCCCTCCCTGTGTTGCATTTTGGGTTAGCCCAGGGCTGACGGTTTCTAGACTTGCTGTTGAAGTGCCTGTTCAATTAAGAGAATTTGCCTGTGTTTTGCTCAATGTTTTCCGAGTCTTCTGCTGAGCTGATGCTACGGTACATAAAAGTATATTACCCACACTTTAAACATTTTTAAGATTTTTAAGAGATGATAACACCAGTGAAAACTGAATGTAAAAACACTTTTTACTCAACTATGCCTTTCTCAAACAGTCCTCCCTGAACAATGAATTTGTCATGGGGCTTTAGCTAGCTATCTGTTGTTATCTGAACTTTGCCTTACCCAAATGATACCCGCCGCTACTGAGTAAACTGATTCACTCTTGGTAGTCATTGCTGCAGCAATAGAAATGTTTGCTCACTAGCTGTCTATGGGTGATGGAAGCTTTCAGTGTTAACACAAAGCGATCTAGTGCCAGTAGCATCTCTATGCTGCCAGCAAGGCAACAAAATATTTAGAAAAAAAGCAGAAAACATATTTAACATAAATCAAAACAAACTTTACACAGACACCTCAAACACTAGGCATATCAAATCTATCAGTATTTAATTTGTCCATTTGACTTTTGTGCACCCTACTGCAATTTTAACTCTTCTGTCTTACCAGTGAGGTGTATTTAAAAGAGTAGCTTTAAAAAGAAGGCAAAAACACTCTTAACTTCCAGTATAAGTTGAGGTCTGAAGTTCCATGTGTTCTGTTTTTGCAGGTTTTGGAATGTTTAAGTTAAGGGGGCCCCCTGGTCCAAAGGCCCCCATAGGGAGTGGGCCTCTCTCTTAATTCCAAATAGATGAGATCCTTTTAATAAGGACCATATGTTCTGTCTCCTTTTTCAACAACAAGCAGCCTATATAAGCAGTTGGGATATTCTGTTCTAGGGGGGGAATACTTTAGAATTGGCACGGATCCTCTCTCAGGTACTTTATAGTGCTTGATATGATACTGTTTTGCTTTGTAAAAAAAACTTCTTATACAAGTAAGGCGGTGTCAGCGGAGTCTCCTTCATCATCTTCACATCATCGCTACTTAATAAACAACACCAGTCATAAAACCAATGAGTTACAGCTGTGTCTTACCAACAAAAGCTGTCAGTGACATTATGTTACCCTTCAACAAGACACTTACATTCACACAAGCAACTATCCAAAATCACCAAAGCTGCAAATTTCTCTGAAGTGCATCTAAAATGGCTAAAGGACACATTTCTGAGGAGGATCTGATATAAGATAATCCAATTGCATAAAGAGGCAGTAAGTCAAAGTAAAAAAGACAGTTTGAAAACTGGAGTTTAAAATAGTAAAAGATATCATGAAAATGGGACTCTTAACAACCATGCAAAACCTGACAGACCACCACAACTGTCATCATCACATAAAACAATACTTAAAGTTCCATTCTTATTTCAAATCTGAAAAAATAGGAGGAGGTTCTATCCATCCATTCAGTGTAACAAGATAACTCAGCAGCTATGGGTCTGAAAGGATGTGTAGCTGTCGAGAAGCTGTTACTGAGAAACACAAATGGACAAAAAAAGAATTGCACTAGAACATCAAAACTGGACATCTGAGATGTGGAGTAATCTGGAGTTTGTGATTTGTTTTTGATTAAAGGCATCATAAATGCTGTTAAACACAAAAAAGTAATACATCATGCAATTCTCTCTGTTTAATAGGAATAAATTATTTCTACAGCAAGATAAGAACTCCAAGCACATTGCTGAGAAGATCAAGGAGTTAAACAAAGAAGCTGATGGTGTTCTCAGAACGATGGACAGGCCACCCCAGAGCCCAGACCTCAGTACCATTGAATGTGTTTGGGATTACATGAATCATGAGAACAGAAAATGTAACAAACATTGAAGACTAAACTTTGGAGGTGTGGAAAAACATGCCTGCAAGATTTCTTTGAGAAACTGAAAGCAAGTCCCCCAAAAAGAATCACAGTGGTAAAAGGCAAAGGATGAACACAATAAATACTGCAAAATATTATATTACATTTAGTTGTGTAGGATTCTGTGTAATGTTCTGTTAAATGCACTGATTGGCTGTGCTGAGATCGGGGCAAGAGCTTATAAGCCTGGTGACCGGCTTCCTTGAGGCTCCTCCTCCTTCCCTTGATGTTGTTGCCAGACCAGCCAGACCCAGAAGTTCCAAACACGGACTAGTTGGGCCTACTCTCCGTGTAGTTGTTAGTCTATTATGATGTGTTAAACTGCCCACTTTGGTGGGATGTGAAGCCTTTTGTTAAAAGACTCTTCTAGACTGGAATCCGTAGGGGGTGTAGCCTTGTTTTCTTTGGGGTTTGTCTTTGTTTTTGTTGAGGGAGTTAGGTTATGTTTTTCTATTTTTGTTTCTTTTATTTTGTATAGGTAAGTTAGTTGATTGGGGAGGTATAATTTTCTTTGTTCTTTTTGGCTGAGACCACTCCTGAAGCTTTAAGCTTCCACAACCCATAATAAAACTCATGAGACTAGTAATATGTGTTTGAGTGTGATTGGTCTGGCGGGTTGGTAATGGGAAGTTGGGGGAGACACTTTCATGTTGCGGCCTACCCTAGACGGGTCGTACCAGTGTTTTCTGATTATCTTCCCTGAAGTTGAAAAAGTAACAACTTAATAAAATTACAAAACATATTCCAAAAAAGTTAAGAATTTAAAATTGATAGTAGATAAAATGCAAATAAAAACAGCAAGCAGCGATTTATAAATCTACTTTGACCTGTATCTGAACAACAACAGTACAAAGACAAGATGACATGTTTTACCTACTTTTTTTGGTAAATATACGCTCATTCTGAAATTAATGCCTGCAAAATATTTCAAAAAAGTTGGGATAGGGCAATTTAAGTCCTAATTTAAGATTAGGAACCTTGTGAAATGTAAACACACAAATGCAATCATAAAAAAAAGAAAAAAAGGAGCATCCAGGGAAGGCCTAATCCTGTATGAACAAGAACAGTTGAGGCTCATTATTTTGACAAAAATATGCATCCAACCATTTAAAAATAACATTTCTCAGTCAGCGATTGCAAGGATTTTAGGTACTTTGCACAATGTCATCAAAAGATTAAGGGAATTGAGAGAAATCTCTGCACGTAAACAAAAATGCAAAAAAACACAAATAAATGCCCATGACCTTCAACCCCTCCCATGGCACTGCATCAAAACTTGGCCTGTTTCTATGATGAGTATCATTACAGGGGCTCGATAATACTTTGAAAAACCACGTCGGTAAACACTGTCATGCATCCACAAATGCAAGACTATCAACAGCATCCAGAAATGTTGCTGACTACTCTGGACTAGAGCTCATCTGAAAAAGACTGATGCACAGTAGAAACATGTATTGTGGACAGACAAGTCAACTTTTAACATTATTTATGGAAATAATGGACATCATGTTCTCTGGGTCAAAGAAGTAAAGAACCATCCTGTGTGAAGGTGTGGGCTATTAGTAGGTAATCAGCACATTTATGAAGGCGCCTTTAACGCTAAACACGTTTTGGAGCAACTTATGCTACCTTTTAAATAACATCTTTTTCAGGGACACCCATGCTTAGTTTAACATGACAACACCAAGGCACGTGTTACTACAGCAAGGCTGTGCAATCAAGAGAGTTCAGGTGTTAGACAAGCCTGCTTACAGTCGAGAACTGTCTTGCCTTGAAAACGTGTGTCTTCTTAAGATCAAAGTACAACAACAAAGGCCCTGTAGTTGCACAGCAGAAGACTTGTATAATAGAAGAATGGCAAAAAAAAAATTACACTTTCAAAACTGGATCAGTTTGTGTCTTCAGTCCCCAAATAATTACTAAGTGCTGTTAAAAGAAAGGCAATGCAACATAGTGGTAAACATGCTCCCATCCCAACTCTT